CTACATATTCCAGTAGGCAGGGGTCACACCCACCAACTGGCCCCCTGGCGCCGTGTAATCCCATCAACGGCCAAGACCCAGAGACTATAAAACCCAGCTCCCGGAAGCGCATGGCCACATTTGCGGCGGCGCTACATCTTATTATCTCATTCTTACTTGTGACTAACTGGCAGGTGACCGAATGTAACCTGTTCACACGGCAGAGTCTGGCAAACTCCCCGTGGCGTACCCAATATGCCAAATACCAGTAACAATGATGGGTCACATTCTCCTAACCCTGAAAGAGCCTTGAATATGGCACTTTTTAAAAAATCTCAGGTCTAGGATGAAGGAGACGTTACTGGGGCCTGCTCAAGGCAATCGACGAACAACAGGATGGTTGTGGTCGGGGTTGTGGTCCTTTGAAAGGATGTGTGCACAACTATGATCATCACCACTGTCACTGTCACTGTCCACCCGTTGTTCGCTCCAGTTTAGTACAATAGCCAAGATATGGAAACCACCAAATGCTCAAGTACAGATCAAGATGGAACGTGGATCAAGACTTTGAGATGTATACGCACAATGGCCATTATGAGGAAGAAAGAAAGCGTGCAATTTGAAGCAACACTAATGGAACTAGAGGATATGGTGAGTGAAGCTAGTCAGATGAAAAAGGATAGAGAATGATCTCTCTCATATGTGGAACTTAAAGATACACAGCAAGGTAACAAAAAAAGATCCTAAGACAACATAATGGGAGAACTGATCCACACAGTTGAGTTGGGGGGAATAAGGAAAGGAGGGAACTTGGGGTCCTTGGGAGAGGGAAGGGGAACACTGGAAATGGGAGTGGTGTTGAAATTATGTGCATGGGAACACATTATTAATTATAAAGCACAGTTTTTTTAATTAATTGTAAATCCAATAAACTTATTAAAGCTCAAAGAAACCAAACAAAGGTGAGGTGCATCCCAGGCACTCTGTTAGCCTTTCTTCAGGTTCACATCCCACCGACATTCACAGAAGCTTTCAGACATTCTAGTCTTCCCAGAGAGGGACCTAAAGTCTCCCTCAGTGACTTCAACATTTGGAGGTGACCCAGTACCTAATCATGGGCTAGGTGACCCCTGTGCTATCGATAACCCTTCTAAAGTGCTAAGAATCAAATCAGCCTTTGAAAATTGTAGTCTGATTCTTGATGGCTCTTTTCATGCCTAGAGGGGTCTTTTATTTTAGTTCTCCTACATTTTTGTTGTATTTTGGGGCCACATCTGGCAGTGCTCAGGGATTCCTCCTGGTTCTGTGCTCAGGAATCACTCCTGGCAGGGTTCTGGGGACCATACAGGGTGCTGGGGATCAAAGCTAGGCCAGCATTGTGCAAGGCAGAGACCCTAACAGCTGTACTATTGCCGCTCCGGCCCCTCTCATAAACATTTTGAAAACTTCTTTTATTTTGGGTGTGGCCATTTCTAGGGACAAGCAGTGCCTGCTCTCAAACATGGGGCTCTGGCAAGCAAAGCATATGAGCTCTAGTCCTGTGCGATATCTCCCTGGTCCACCTGTTGGTTCTCTTTTGTTTTTTTCCTTAGTTTTTATTTTTAAATCCAACCCTCATGAATCATGAAGTTATAAAGATATCTGTGCCTGAGGTTAAAGCATACAATATTCTGATACCAATTCCTCCACCGTTGTCCCCAATTTCTCTCAGGCACCCTCACATTTCCCCTCCCATACTGCCCTAGTGTTCCCTTCCCTAACTTATGCTCCCAGCTGACGCCCAAGAGGCAAGCTCCCTACTGAAGACTATTTCTCCTGCTCTTTGTTTCTCTTGCCTTTGGGCGTTTGATGTTCCCCTAGAAAGTTTCTTTATGTCCCACGTATGAGAGAGATCATTCTGAGTCTGTTCCACTCTTTCTGTTTTCATTCAAATTATACTCTCCGGAAAACCTCCAAGTCCATCCAGGAGGCGCTCAGGGCTTAACTCCTGGCTCTGCTCCCAGGGATCGCTTCTGGTGGGCCTCAGGGGTTCTTGGCAGAAGGAAGGTAACCCTTTCTGACAGTGAGGTAAAATTCAAGCAGAGTTCACAATGATGGCCTAAGGGGGCAGTCTAGGAGGTAAGAACTAGGACACAGAAAAATCATGTCCAAGAGAACGTGTGTGATGGGGAGCAGCGGTCAGTCTTCCATGAGTACAGGTACCAGGCAAGAGCCCTGAGTCATATCACTCTCACTGGTCATGGAAACCAACTGGTTTCAACCAACTTACAATCAAGGATATGAGGATGTCCAGGAAGAGAGGGAATCGTTTAACTGGGAAAGACATGGAAGATAAAAACACCAATCAATTTTTAGACCAATAGTTGGCATGTGCAGTGTGCCGTGCGCAGTGCGCACTGTGCTGTTTCCCGCACACTGGTGCTGATATACCAAAACTACTTATTTCCTGACCATCCACCCACCCAGTGTAGCCAGTTTTTCCCTTCCTGGTTCCCTGCACATCCCCTTTTCCTCTTCCATGCACCTGGTCACTGGGCCCTGACTTCTACTTCCATCCCTGTATTGGAACCAGGGAGGGACCACCCACAGGATCTGTCCACCAGTGTCAAATGTAGGAACTTAAGGAGAGAGGGCGACGTGCCAGAACCTGGGTCAGGTGCTCCTGAGCACAGTGCCAGGAGAAAAAGGTCTCCACAGACAGACAGGACGGGCAATAGGATTGAAGAAGGTGGTGGTTGGTGGTGGGGGCCAGGGGTGGGGGGTGGTTGATGCAAGCTTAAATGTGCTCTTTTACTATCCGCTGAAGCACAGGTGCAGGATGTTTGCCAGCCACAGAGAGGTCAAGAGTGGTCATGACACCAAAAGCAGGGTGAGGCGAGAGAAGCAGACCAGTGGTTCCTTTGAGGGCTGAGAAGAGGGACTGGAGTTTGGAAGGGGATCCTGAGTTCTGGTTGAATATGGAAGGGCAGAGTGGTGAAAAATGGGAAACGTGACACCCCCAAAGAGGAGGAGGAAGTTAGGTGAGAGCATGCAGTGAACCTGCAGGGAGGAGAGAGGAGACCCTCCAGAGGGTAGGCATAGATGATGCAGAAGCCAGACCCAGGCATGGCAGGGGCCTGATGGTAGGGCTCTTGCTCGGGGGGCAGGCCCGGAGTGCTCACGGGGAAAAGGGCAAGTGCAGAATGTGGGAGGTGCTGACCTGGAAGACCTTCTGAAATGGAGCATATCCCCATCCTGACCCAGAGAGAGGGCAGACCACAGAACATGAGAAGCACTTTAATTATGAACTGTCTTTATACCAGGACGTCAAAGGGTCTAATGAACAAGGAGCAGGTTCAGGCAGAATTGAAAGCGATCAGCTTGTCTGTAGCTCCAGGGCTCTGAACGCTCCGAACGCGGCTTCTTCCACACGAAAGCGGTCCTTCAGCCTGAGAAAGAGAGCACGGTCAGAGAAGGGCCTCCACTACGGCCAGCCCGCAGCCTTGCTAGCAGCCCGGTACATACTAAGGGAAGGTGCACGGTTTATGTAACACTCACTCAAGAGGTCCTGTAATCTGTCAGCGAGGGTCTCCAAGTCAGCTGAAAAAGAAAGATGCATGAACAGCCACTCCAGACTCCAGACAGAGGGAGGGATCTGAGATCCCCCGGGCCCCTGGCACCCCAGAGGAGATGCCTACCCCTGCAACCTGAAACCAGCTCCACCTCCATCTGGGATTGACACACTCAACCATCACATCCATTCAATGCGCAAAAGTTTTCTAAATGGCAACAAAATGTACTGGGTACACGAGAACCATTTGAAACTTGTCAAACAAATTCCTCCATTAGGAAACACTGTGAAAGCCATACCTGGGCTGTTAAAGGCAAGATAGGTGCCAGAGCTCCAGACCTGCTGGGTCTCTTGAGACAGGTCAAGATCCCCAGGGCTCATTTTCATTGGCAAAGCAAACAGAGAGGCTAGGCAAGACTTGGCCTCCCCTCACAAACACACACTTAGCCGTCAATGCAGGGAAGGGCCCCGGACTCGGCCTGCTGGGTTCTCCTCTCCAAGGAACCTTGTTTCCTTGAGGGCGTGTGCATCTGGTGCCTTCCCAGTCCTTGGAAGCCCCACCCCCTCCCGATACAGGGCACTAAGACCCAGCACCCTTCCATGTCCCTGACCCAGCCAGCAGGTCCTCATACCGATTCTCTTCTTGAGCTTTGCTACTTCAGTCTGCAGCACAGCACACTAGTCCAGCAGAGAGGGGGGAAAGAGAAAAGATTAGCACACTCTGGCCTCCTCTCTCCCCCTCCGCCCACCACCCATCCCTGTCCTTGCACCACAAAGCCAGTGTCTTAGTGACACGGGGTCCTCCTGGAACCCTATATTGCACAATATAGTACCCTGTATTGTGGGGCATGGCATGGGGGACACAGATTAACCCTGACTCAGAGCGCATTATCTGCTCTCGGTCTGTGTTTCTAGGAGCCAGAGGAAGCATTACCCGAGGGCAGTCCGTTCCTCCAGGGGACTGGGGCAGAGGTTCTGGTCCTGGGGAATATTCGGGTTGTTCCTGGTGCCCTGAAAGAGAAACACACACTCCAGCATCCAAGGCTCAGATTAGGGTGGGAAGTGTCTACAGGGCTGTAACATGAGACAGCATCTCCCTCTGCCGGCAATGAGGGGCCTCTGCCCTGCACAGCAGCTCCAGAATGTCCCATGGAGACATGCAGAGACCCCTCTGCCACTGTGTTCCCCAGCGAGCTTGCCTTGGCTTAGACACTCACACAGCTGCAGCCACAGTCCGCCACTGAGGTAAGCAGGGTGGCTGAGCATATATTTATTTCTTTATAGCAAATATATTTATTGTCGGCTATTTCCTTTTTCGATTCCTCCGCCCCTCTCGGAGAGCCCGGCAAGCTACCGAGAGTATTCGATATGCCAGACACAGTAACAACAAAGTCTCCAATGGAGACGTTACTGGGCCCGCTCGAGCAAAATCGACGATCAACGGGAGGGCCTATTGCCTATTGCCTTCCTTTTACTTCACAGGAAAGGCTCGGTTCCCCCTGAAAGTCCACATGCCAGCTGCAGTGAGCGACACTGCTACAGAACACCCTGGCCACTCAGCCCAGGGGAAGGATGACGGGGCTGCACGCTGTCCTCTGCGAATCTCGGTTCCCGTCAGCACACTTCCAAGGTAGGCAAGGCTGAGATCCCCCACAAGCACAGAGGCAGCATTTTCCCTCTCCCCCGCGCCTTCTTCCACTGCTAGCAAACCCACAAACTCACCTGAGCGAGCAGGTCGTCTGATGCTGATGTCTCCTTGGCTCAGAACCAAGGCCTGAGGGTTCCCTGGAGCTCGCTGAGCTCTAGCGCTGAGGCTGCCGCTGCTGCCTTCTGCAAAACGCATGCTCTGGCCAGATTGCTTTGGCTTGCTTGTCTGGATCTACAACAGGATATTCTCCATGGAATTAATACAACTAGAGGTGTATTTGTAGGGGCGAGGCTGAGGCAGGGAAGGAGAGAGGGAATTCAGAGGATAATCCTGAGAGCACTGTCTTGCTTAGTCAGGCCCTCAGGCAGTCCAGGAGGCAGACTCAGGAAGAACAGAAGGATATTGAAAGCAGCCAGGCCCAGTCCAGGGTAGGCTGTGGGAGGTAACAGGAAGTAGGAATGTCAGGGGCCTAGTTTTTGCAGAATTGCCCTAAAGCAAACCATCTTCCACCCCTCCCTCCCAGGGGGTGAGGGGAGGCAGGAAACCTGCCAGGTTGGAGAACGTCTTCTGGCCTACAGGATGCGATTGTCATTTTCTCCCTATCCAAACGTGCCACATCTGGCATCCTAATGATCCCGGCACCCCCTGCCCTGAGGGTAAGACAGAGGGAGCAAGGTAGAGAGAAGGGGTGAGGAAAGGAAAGGGTGTGGAGGCAGGAGGAGGATCTCGACCCACCTGGCCCTTGGGAGATGTCTCTCTCTTCGAGTCATCATCTCTGGCCAACTGCTCACACTCTCTTGGCTTCCTGGCCACAGATTTCTTGCCACTGGTACAAGTGTGCTTAGGCTGCTTGCTTGGCAGAGGCAGCAAGGAATGCCGCTCAGACCTCCCAAGCGTTTTGGCACCAGGAATTGGTGGGAATGTGGAAGACTCTGGAGCAGCTGCTGACGCTCTCTGTGCCCAGGAAGGACCGGACCTCCCCAGGGCCAATTTGGAGGGAGCCCCGAGGGATTTCTTCTCTTGGATCGCACTCCTAGAAGTGCCTAGCGGCAGGCTGGTTTCTAGGGACACTCCAGAGTAGCTGGGCCTGCCCCGTCCCTTCCCCACAACCACATTCAGCCAGTTCTTGCCAGGAGAGGTTTCCCGACCTCCTGCAGCCTGCCTCTCCAGAGGTACGGGCACTCTTCGCGGAGGGGAGGGAGGCATGGACCCTTGCATGTAAAACAAGTTCTCCCGACCAGGGAACTTGGCGCGCCTGTGCGCATCTCTAGAATTGTCAGGGCTCCGGGTGCTAGTTGGGCCCCTTTCCCTGGAGGCCCCGCCCTTGGTGGCCCCTCTCCCTTCTCTCGCCCTCTGGGCCTCATTGAAGTCATCTGGCGAGTCAAGTTCAGAAGCCAGCTTGGTCAGGCCTTCTGCAGAAGGGGCCCTCTGCAGAAGGGCCTTCGGCACATTCAACCGGCCCCTAGAGCCTCTCCTAGTCAGCCTCCCATCTTGGCCTCCCTTGGGCCCACTGAGGCTGCGAGAGCTGGCAGCGGCCGGATGCACTTCTACTAGGTCAGGAGGGAATGGGGGCCTAGCACAGACCACTGAATTGAGCCCCTGCCAACGGGCGGAGTTCTCATCCCAGCAGCTCACTGGGGATGGGTTTCTGCGGACATCCCGTGGCTCTTGGTGGAGCACCGGCGGCGGCTCCCTGGCTGCCTCGGACTCCTCGGTAAACGTGGGCATTAGGGCCATCAGGTCAGGACGCTCCTCATCCCTGATGTCATCACCACGGAGCGCAGTGATGCCAAGAAGGCCTTCTGGGTCACAAAGCACTGCTTCTCCCACTGCCATCAGTTGGGACCCATAGTCGGAAGCCCGGGGGCCCTGGAACCCTCCCTCCGTGCTGCCCCTTGGGGGCACCGTCTGGCCTACGCCTAGGCCGGGTGTGGGTGGGACTCTGGGGCCTGTTCTCAAAAACCTGACCGGCTCCTCACTCCTGGGGCCCACATTCACTCCACACAATGTCACCTCAGCTTTGTCCTCATCTTCCGGGGAACTCATGCTCCAGTCTAGGTAGCCCTGACTGGGGAGGGGACGGGCCTACTCCTTCCTGGAGGCAGAGGTGAGCCTTCAGCGAACTGGCCCCGGGCCACAGGCGACCCGCTGCCTATGGCGACCAACCGGCCACCGCAGGCTATGGAGGGGGCGGGGGGGGGGGGTCCCTCTGCGCATGATTGTGATGTCATTAGCCACCGCTGCTGCCTCCTTCTCATTGGCCAGTAACCTCTCCCGCCGGCCCTCTGTGCTCTGCGCCCTGACCAATAAGAGGGAGGGCCTTCGCTTAAAGGCCCAGCACACACTGCGGGAACCTGGCGAACGGAAGTCTGTCACGTGACAAGATGGCGCTCGCTGAGCTCTAGTCCCACCTCTTCCTCGTCCACGCACTACTGACTTGCCTCCTTGTCAGCGTTTCAGGCTCACTGCTCAGAGGGTCCTGGTAGGACGAGGATAAGGCACTTGTCTTTCCTGAAAGTGAGCCCCAAGGAACTGGCCAGCTCTTTTGTGGAGTGAATGTAACACCTGCGTTCCCTCCATACAACGTGTATGTCCAGTTTCTGCAAAATCAACATGTGCAATTAATTGCCAAATTGCCAGTATTTTATTCTTTTCTTCCTTCTTCTTTTATTTGCATGTCGTATCATTTTATTTATTTGCGATTCAAAGAACTGAGATTTATAAAGTAATTGAGAGTTGCATTTTAAGCATATAATATCCCAACATCAATCCCAACACCAGTGTCAACTTCCCTCCACCAGTGTTTCCATACTGCATCTCTTCAACCACCCCGCTCACCCCCACTTGCCACTTTGACGGGTGCATTAAAAACTCGGTGGTTGCAGTTAGATCTCATGGTTTCCGTCTTAAGTCTGTGCTCTGAATGTATAACTCTACCACTATCTCGCATCATCAGTATGACTGAAGTGCTGATCCCTGTTCCTCATTACTTCCCTTTCTCACCTTCTTTCTTTCCTCTTGCATTCTTTGCTCTTATGTCCTCTCCTCCTAAGCTCTGGGGTCAAGGTGATTTGGGCATCCTCCCTTTACTGCATTACATTTCCTCATCCACTTATTCTATATACCACAGATGAGAGAAATCATCCTGTGTTTGTCTTTCTTTTTCTGGCCTACTTCAATCAACTTGGTAGCTCAAAGTTCCAACCAGGTGGCAGCCAACTGCTTGGTTTCATCGTTCCCTGCCGCTACATAGTACTCCATTAATTACGTATACCACATCATCAAAATCCGTTCATCTGTCATTGGACACCTGGGTTGATTCCACACCTTGGTTATTGTACTGACTGCAACGACGAATAATGGTGTACATATGGCCTTTTAAATGAATAGTTTTAAGTCCTGGGGGAGGGTAGATGCACAAAAGTGGAATTGCTGGGACCTAGTGAAGCACACTTCTAAGTTTACTGAGGATTCTCCATACTGTTTTCACGGGGCTTGAACCACCCAACAACATTTCCACAAGCAGTGGATCTGAGTCCCTTTTTTACCACATCCCCCACCAGCAAGGTTCTATTTACTATTTTTATTTTATTAAATCACCACGAGCTACAGTTACAAAACATTCATGTTTGAGTTTCAGTCATATAATGATCAACAGCCATCTTTCCACAAGTGTACATTTTCCACCACCAATGTCCCCAAGTATCCCCACCCTGTGCCACGCTCCCCCTGCCTTTATGGCAGACAATTGCCTTCTTTCTCTCACTACTCATGGCGATTATAGTTTGCAGCACAGATTACAGGTAATGAGAGGCCATCGTGTTTGGTCTATTATCTACTTTGAGCACTTATCTCCCATGCCGAGCGATCCCTCCAACTGTTATTGACTTAGTGTTCCCTTCTCTATCTCAGCTGCCTTCTCCCCAGCTCATAAGGCAGGTTTCCAACGGTGGGCTACTTTTCCTGGCCCTTGTCCCTACTGTCCTTGGCTGTTAGCTTCATATTATGATATTTTATATTCCACAAATGAGTACAGTCATTCTATGTCGGTCCCTCTCTTTCTGATACATATCACTTAGCATGGTACTCACCACGGCCATCCACTTAAAAGCAAATTTCATGACTTCATCTTTCCTAATAGCTACATAGTATCCCATTGTGTAGATGTACCAAAGTTTCTTTAACCAGCCGCCTGTTCCCAGGCACTCAGGTTGTTTCCAGATTCAGGCTATTGTGAACAGTGCTGCAATGAACATCCAGGTGCAGATGTCATTTCTGCTGTGCTTTTTTTGCAGTATGTTCCCAGAAGTGGTATTGCGGCGTCATATGGAAGCTCAATTTCTAGTTGGTGAAGGAATGCCCATATTGTTTTCCCAAAGGGCTGGACCAGTCAGCATTCCCACCAACAGTGAAGGAGAGTCCCTTTCTCCCCACATCCATGCGAACACCAGTTGCTTTTGTTCTTTTGGATATGTGCCAGCCTCTGTGGTGTGAGATGATATCCCATTGTTGTTTTGATCTGCATCTCCCTGATAATTAGTGATGAAGAGCATTTTTTCATGTGCCTTTTGGCCATTTGTATTTCTTTTGTGAGGAAGCTTCCGTTCATTTCTTCTCCCCATTTTTGATGGGCTTGGAGGATTTTTTTCTTGTACAATTCTACTAGTGTCTTGTATTTCCTTCATATTAGCCCCTTATCAGAAAGGTATTGGGTGAATGCCCTTTCCCATTCTGTAGACTGTCTTTGTATCCTGGTTGCTGTTTCTTTTGAGGTGCAGAAGCTTCTTGGTTTAAGATAGGCCCATTGGTTTATCTCTGCTTCCACTTGTTTGGTCAGTGGCATTTCATTTTTGAAGATACCTTGGGTTTCATGGGTCATGGAAGGTTTTCCGACCTTTTCTTCAGTGTACCTGATGGATTCTGGTCTGATGTTGAGGTCTTTAATCCATTTTGATCTGACTTTTGTGCGTGGTGTTAGGTAGAGGTCTGAGCCTACTTTTGTTGCGTGTAGCTGTACAGTTTGGCCAGCACCATTTGTTAAAGAGGTTTTCGTTGCTCCACTTCATAGTTTTGCTCGCTTCTCAAAGATTAGATGATACTATACTTAGAGACCCCTAAAGACTCTACCAAGAAGCTACTAGAAACAATAGACTTGTATAGTAAGGTCACAGGTTATAAAATAATGCCCCAAAGTCCATGGATTTCCTATAAGCAAATAATGAGAGAGAATAAAGTGATATGAAAAAAACAGCCCCATTTACGAACATGCCCCAGAAAATCAAGTGCCTCGGAATCAGCTTAACTACGGAGGTAAAGGACCCGTACGAAGAATACCACAAAATGCTCCTTCAGTCGAGATAAGTACCAGGAGGTTCACTCCATGGCTTGAAGGCCAGCCACGCGTGCTAGGGGAAAAGGCAGCTCAGATAGAGAAGGGAACACCAAGGAAAGGTGTTGGGAGGATCCTCCCAGGATGGCAGATGCATGCTGGAAGTAGACTATAGACCGAACATGATTGCCACTCAATGCCTCTTTTGCAAACCTCAGCACCCAAAAGGAGAGAGAGGACAAAAGGGAGTGCCCTGCCACAGAGGCGGGATGGGATGGGGGAATAGGGGGTGGGAGGGATACTGGGATCATTGGAGGTGTTGAATGCGCACTGGTGGAGGGATGAGTACTCAGTCATTGTATAACTGAAACCCAAGCACAAAACCTTGTAAGTCCACAACTGTACCTCATGGTGTTTCGCTAATAAAAAATTTTAAAATATTAAATAAAATAAAACAAAACATAAAAAAAATTGCTACTTCAAGGAATAAAAGAGGACACGAGGAAATGGAAACACATCCCCTCCTCGTGGATTGGAAGAATTAACATTTTCAAAATGACAATACACTCCAAAGCATTATACAGATTCAACACAATCCCTATAAGGACACCCATGATATTCTTCAGAGAAATTGATCAAACACTCCGGAATTTCATATGGAGCAGAAAGCCCCCACGAATAGCTGAAGCAATTCTTGGCGGGGGGGGGGGGGGGTGGCGAAAATGGGAGGCATCAACTTTCCCAACCTCAAACTCTACTAAAAAATGGTAAAAATTAAAGCAGCATGGTATTGGAACAAAGACAGATCTGCAGACCAATGGAATAGGGTTGAATATCCTTACACACACCCTCAAATATATGTGCGTACTGACTGGGGCAAGGTGAAATTCTGTTGTCGTCTTGATTTGTATTTCCCTGATGATAAGTGATGTCGAGCACTTTTTTTGTGTGCCCATCGGTCATCGGCCAGGACAGAATGAACTATTTTCAAAGAACTGTGTTCATTCTCGCCTGTCTTGGGCCAACTTGAAGGACTCCATGCACCTTACCAAGATGTAACTCAGGTCAGAAATGCAGTTACCCACTTTTAGAGAACTTTTTATGGTGCTCAGTCCACAGTCTTCCTGAGGAAAAGATGGAGACAGGGGGTGAGGGAATAAGGGCATTCAAAAGAGCACTTTCTTGCTGGGGAATTTAGAAAGCTGAATGCATGCTTGAACAGATCAAATCCTCAGAAAAGTCCTGAGAAATCCAGTGTTTTCAACTCCTGGCTCATCTATAGATTCACGCCAAGCAGCAAGTGAAGGTTAACATGTGGGTTTCGTGGTTTTCTTTAACTGGCCTGGATGAACATTGAAGGTGTGTCATCTCAGAGTTCATATGCAAAGACAAAGACGTTTTCCTTTTACTGCCTTTCTCTTCCTCTTCTCCCTGTGTCTCCTCATCCTCTTCCTCTATCTGCTGCTACTTCTTGGCATCTTTCTACTCACTCCTCTTCCTCGATATTTTTTGCCGTTTTCTTCTCCATCTCCTCCTCCTGGTCGTCTTCCTTCTTATCCTCCTCCTCTTCCACTTAACTCGTGCTTTTCTTGAATTCCTATTGTGATTTTTGTCTTCACTCTCTTTTTTCTTCCTCCTCATGTATTTCAAAAGTGTTTTGACAAAACACATGTTTAACACAAGCAAAATGAACAGCCATCAACCATGACAAAGGATA